TATCTCAGGGGGTCTCGGGGGGCTCAGGGTGACTCAGGGGGTCTCAGGGTGACTCGAGGGGGTCTCAGGGGGTCTCGGGGTGTGGCCTCACCTCGCTCTTGATGGGGGGCTCAGCTGGCCCGTTTTTCTTGCCGGGGGGCGGCGCGGGGGGGGCGGTGGCCAGCGTGGCCCCCGCCGTGGCCAGCGTGGCCCCCGTGGCCAGCGTGGCGATCACCTGGCCCTGCGCGTTGAGCAGCAGCTGCGGTGTCACCGGTGTCACCTGCAGGCTGGGCGGGGCCGGCGCGGGGGCGGCCGCGGCCACCCCGGGGGGGGCCACGACCCACGGCAGGGTCCCGATCACCTGGGGGGGGGACACAGCGCTGGGGGACCCCAAAACACCCGCCCCGCGGCGGGGACACGGCCCCGGGAGCTGCCGGGACCCCTCCCCAGGTGACACAGCCCCTGGGGGGGGGACAGGGGGCCCCCCGCGGTACCTGGCCCTGGGTGGTGGTCAGGAGCTGCCCCGGGATCCCCTGGACGCTGGGGAGGGGGGTGGCGATCACGGGGGGGGCACTGAGGGACCCCAGGATCTGTGGCTGTGCCCCCAGAGCCGCCGTGAGCTGTGGGACGGAAACGGGGTCAGAGCTGGGCCGGCGGGGGCCGCCGGCACCCCCTGGGGTCGTCCCCCCTCCCCGTGGCCTCTGGAGTCCCTGGGGGTCCCTAAATCCCGAAATCCATCCGCTGGGAGCAGCCCAAAGCAGAGCTGCAGCTTCTTGGGATGGGGAAACTGAGGCAGGGATTGAGTTCAGGGAAACTGAGGCTGGAATCCTGCCCGGGGAAACTGAGGCAGGGATCTTGCCCAGGGAAACTGAGGCTGGAATCCTGCCTGGGGAAACTGAGGCAGGGATCTTGCCCAGGGAAACTGAGGCTGGGACTGTGTCTGGGGAAACTGAGGCAGGGATCCTCACATAAAACCAGGCTGGGATTGTGCACAGGGAAACTGGATGGAAGATGGAATGTTGCCTGGTGAAATTGTGGCAGTGATCCCACCTGGGAAATGGACTGGGATCTTCTCCTGGGAAACTGAGGCAGGGATCCTGTTCTGGGACATGGGGGCAGGAATCCTCCCTGGGGAAACTGAGGCAGGGATCCTGCACAGGGAAACTGAGGCAGGGATCCTGCCTGGGAAGCAGACTGGGATCTTATCCTGGGAAACTGAGGCAGGGATCCTGTTCTGGGACACGGGGGCTGGAATCCTGCCTGGGAAACTGAGGCTGGGGTCCTGCACAGGGAAACTGAGGCAGGGATCCTCTCCAGGGACACTGAGGTCACAGTCTGCCATGTGGAAACAAAGAGTGGGATGGGATCCTGCTGGGGAAACTGAGGCAGGGATCCTGCACAGGGAAACTGAGACTGGGATCCTGCCTGGGGAAACTGAGGCAGGGAACCTTCCTGGGGAAATTGAGGCAAGGATACTCTCCAGGGACACTGAGGTCACAATCTGCCATGTGGAAACTGAGGCAGGGATCCCGTTCTGGGACACGGGGGCTGGAATCCTGCCGAGGGAAACTGAGGCAGGGACGCGGCCCCGGCATTCCCGGGGCTCCCCGCGGCCCCGGAGCCCGGGCAGGGCTGGGCTCGGTCCTTACTATGCCGGGGTTAAAGGCCAGTCCGGCGATCTGGGGCTGGACGGACATCGGGGGGTCCTTTGGGGGGGCAGCGGGGGCTGCCCCGGGGGCGGCGGGGGCGGCCGCGGCGCCGGGACCGCCGGGACGGCCGGGATGGCGGGGCTGAGCACGGCGGCGGCTGCGGAGAGACGGAGACACCGTCAGTGGTGGCACCGGCGACAACGCGCCCCTGTCCCCCCGCCCCGCCCGGCTGTCCCCTCCGCACCGGGCCGGGGTCTCACCCACAGCCGCTGCTGCTGCACGGAGCGGCGGCGCCCGCGGAACCCAAAATCTGCCCGGACACACCTGGCACAGGCGCAGGGTCCCTAAAAGCCACCCCGAGATGGGGTCGAGCCCTCCCCTTCCCCACCTGCAGGGCTCCCCCCTGGCCTGCGGCAGGGGGTGGCACACCTGGAGCCCCAAATCTGCACCTGAGCCCCAAATCTGCACCAGGTATCACACCTGGAGCTCCAAATCTGCACCTGAGCCCCAAATCTGCACCAGGTATCACACCTGGGGCCCCAAATCTGCACCTGGAGCCCCAAATCTGCACCTGAAACCTCACCTGGAGTCCCAAATCTGCACCTGGAGTCCCAAATCTGCACCTGAAACCTCACCTGGGGCCCCAAATCTGCACCTGGAACCCCAAATCTGCACCTGGAGCCAAACTTGGAGCCCCAAATCTGCACCTGAGCCCCAAATCTGCACCAGGTATCACGCCTGGGGCCCCAAATCCGCACCTGGAGCCCCAAATCTGCACCTGAAGCCTAAAAACGGCACCAGGAGCCCCAAATCTGCACCAGATATCAAACCCGAGGCCCCAAATCTTCACCTGGAGTTCCAAATCTGCACCTGGAATGCCAAGTCTGCACCTGATGCCACACCTGGAGCTCCAAATCTGCACCTGGGCTCTCACCTGGAGCCCCAAATCTGCACCTAGAGCTCGAAATCTGAACCTGGTGCCAAACCTGGAGCCCAAATCTGCACCTGGAGCCCCAAATCTGGAACCACAAATCTGCACCTGGAGCCGCACCTGGAGGCCCAAATCTTCACCTGGAGCCCCAAATCTGCACCAGGTCCCACACCTGGAGCTCCAAAGGTACACCTTCGGTACCCAAATCCCCCAAATCCAAGCCCACTGGGCTCCTGAAGCTGCAGCTGGAGCCCCAAAGCTACCTGGACTTCACCTGTTGCAAGCACTTGTCACACCTGGAGCCCCAAATCTACACCAGGGGCCACATGTGGAACCCCAAATCTACACCAGGTACCACATCTGGAGCCCCAAATCTATAGCAGGTGCCACATGTAGAGTCTCAAAGCTACACCTTATTTGATACTCAAATCCCGCAGCAGCGGGGGCTGCCCCGGGGGCGGCGGGGGCGGCCGCGGCGCCGGGACCGCCGGGACGGCCGGGATGGCGGGGCTGAGCACGGCGGCGGCTGCGGAGAGACGGAGACACCGTCAGTGGTGGCACCGGCGACAACGCGCCCCTGTCCCCCCGCCCCGCCCGGCTGTCCCCTCCGCACCGGGCCGGGGTCTCACCCACAGCCGCTGCTGCTGCACGGAGCGGCGGCGCCCGCGGAACCCAAAATCTGCCCGGACACACCTGGCACAGGCGCAGGGTCCCTAAAAGCCACCCCGAGATGGGGTCGAGCCCTCCCCTTCCCCACCTGCAGGGCTCCCCCCTGGCCTGCGGCAGGGGGTGGCACACCTGGAGCCCCAAATCTGCACCTGAGCCCCAAATCTGCACCAGGTATCACACCTGGAGCTCCAAATCTGCACCTGAGCCCCAAATCTGCACCAGGTATCACACCTGGGGCCCCAAATCTGCACCTGGAGCCCCAAATCTGCACCTGAAACCTCACCTGGAGTCCCAAATCTGCACCTGGAGTCCCAAATCTGCACCTGAAACCTCACCTGGGGCCCCAAATCTGCACCAGGTATCACACCTGGAGTCTCAAATCTGCACCTGAAACCTCACCTGGGGCCCCAAATCTGCACCTGGAACCCCAAATCTGCACCTGGAGCCAAACTTGGAGCCCCAAATCTGCACCTGAGCCCCAAATCTGCACCAGGTATCACGCCTGGGGCCCCAAATCTGCACCTGGAGCCCCAAATCTGCACCTGAAGCCTAAAAACTGCACCTGGAGCCCCAAATCTGCACCAGATATCAAACCCGAGGCCCCAAATCTTCACCTGGAGTTCCAAATCTGCACCTGGAATGCCAAGTCTGCACCTGATGCCACACCTGGAGCTCCAAATCTGCACCTGGGCTCTCACCTGGAGCCCCAAATCTGCACCTAGAGCTCGAAATCTGAACCTGGTGCCAAACCTGGAGCCCAAATCTGCACCTGGAGCCCCAAATCTGGAACCACAAATCTGCACCTGGAGCCGCACCTGGAGGCCCAAATCTTCACCTGGAGCCCCAAATCTGCACCAGGTCCCACACCTGGAGCTCCAAAGGTACACCTTCGGTACCCAAATCCCCCAAATCCAAGCCCACTGGGCTCCTGAAGCTGCAGCTGGAGCCCCAAAGCTACCTGGACTTCACCTGTTGCAAGCACTTGTCACACCTGGAGCCCCAAATCTACACCAGGGGCCACATGTGGAACCCCAAATCTACACCAGGTACCACATCTGGAGCCCCAAATCTATAGCAGGTGCCACATGTAGAGTCTCAAAGCTACACCTTATTTGATACTCAAATCCCCAAAATCCAAGCCCATTTCAGAACCCTCCTGCAGCCACACCTGGAGCCCCAAATCTACCTGGACCTCAACTGTTGCAAGGAGGTGCCACACCTGGAACCCCAAATCTACACCAGGTGTCACACTCAGAGCCCCAAATCTACACCAGGTGCCACATGTGGAGCCTCAAAGCTACACCTTATTTGATACTCAAATCCCCCAAATCCAAGCCCATTTCAGAGCCCTCCTGGAGCCCCAAATCTACCTGGACCTCACCTGTTTCAAGGACGTTCCACACCCAGAGTCCCAAAGCTACACCAGGTGCCACACCTGGAACCCTAAATCTACAGCAGGTGCCACATGCAGAGTCTCAAAGCTACACCTTATTTGCACACCTGGAACCAGGAGTGCAGTATTTGATACTCAAATCCCCCAAATCCAAGGCCATTCCAGAGCCCTCCTGCACCTGGAGCCCCAAAGCTACACCAGGTGCCACATGTGGAGCCCCAAAGCTACACCTTCCATAGTCAAATCCCCCAAACCCAAGCCCATTGGGCTCCTGAAGCTGCAGCTGGAGCCCCAAAGCTACACCAGGGGCCACATCTGGAAATCTACACCAGGGGCCACAGCTGGAGCCCTATATCTACAGGAGGTGCTACACCTGGAGCCCCAAAGCTACAGCAGGTGCCTCACTTGGAGCCCCAAATCTACACCAGGGGCCACATGTGGAACCCCAAATCTCTATCACGTGTCACACCTGGAGCCCCAAATCTACACCAGGTGCCACATGTGGAGCCCCGAATCTCCATCAGGTCCTACACCTGGAGCCCCAAAGCTACACCAGGTGCCTCACCTGGAGCCCCAAATCTACACCAGGTGCCACATGTGGAACCCCAAATCTCTATCAGGTGTCACACCTGGAGCCCCAAATCTGCACCTCCGATGCTGAAATCCCCCAATCCGAGCCCGTCTGGCTCCTGAAGCCGCAGCCGGAGCCCCAGGTGTGCCCGTTCTCCACTCAGCCCCGCTGCCGGGGGCGCGGTTACCTGCGGTTACCTGTGAGATTGGCTACGGGCGGTTTGAAAATCGCCCCCGCAGGTGCCGCCGGCGTCAGTCCCGGGAGCGCGGCGAGCGTTGCTGTGGGAATTGTCACCAGGGCCAGCGCCTGCTGGCCTGTCACCTGACCTGCAATACTGATGGGGATAAGAAGAGGTTGAGTAACTGTCCCTGCCGGAACCATTACTCCTGTCACACCTGTGGCTAAGCTTTCCTGAGCCAACACCTGCGGAGATAAATGAGATTTGAAAGAGAAACACAAATCAACGCCCTGCTCAGCATCAGGGAAACCCCCACAGGGCCCCCCCGCCCGGCCTGGGACACCCCTCGGGGGCAAAGGGGAACCCCCTGGTGAATCCCTCTTTGGGGGGGGCAAAGGGGGAGCCCCCCTGCCTGGTGAGCCCCTGGGGGAAGGGGGACCCGGGGGGCTCCCTGGTGAACTTCTGGGGGGGGGAAGGCAAAGGGGGAGCCCCCTGAACTGTGAACCCCTCTCCGTGGGGAGATGGGGGGGAGCTCTGTGAACTGGGGGGCACTGGGGGGCTGTGGAGGAGCTTGTCTGGAGGGGATAAAGGGGGGTTTCCCCCTTACTGCTGACCCCGCTCTGTTGGGGATGGGGGGCAGAGAGGGGATCCCCTTTACCTCGGGGTCCCCCCTAACTCAGAACCCCCTCTCCATAGGGACACAAGGGGCACCTGGGGCCTCCCTTCCCCCCCAGGTCTGCGTGGGGGGGACAAAAGGGGTCCCCCTTACCTGGCCACCCCCTCTCTGCGGACACCTCCCCCGGGGTCCCCCCTGGCCCCCCAGCCGCGGGGGACAGTTACCTGCGGGGTGGCCTGCACGGCCAGGTGTGTCACGCCGGGCTGGCTCGGGGCCGGGCTCGAGGGCACCGGGGTGGGCGACGCTGCTTTGGCTTTACCTGGGGGAGAACCAGGTGCGGGTGAGAGGGAGACACCCAAATTCTGCACGCCCGGGCAGCGAGCAGCCTCCCCCAGGTGTGCTCAGTGCGGTCAGAGCCCGGGGAGGGGGCGCAGGAGGGGCAGGGACCCGGGCCAGCCGCGCTGTGACCAGGGCGGTGACACCCGCCATCCCCCGGGGTGGCCTCCTCCTCCCCCCGGCAGGAGACAGGACGGGACAGGTGACAGGTGACAGGTGACAAGCGCGTGTCCTGCCGGATTTGGACAGAAAGCAGTGAGGAATAACGCGGGGTCCCCCCAAAACGTGAACTGCCGGGGGGAGGGGGGGGAGGACCTGCAGCAGGACCGCGGAGCAGCCCAGGTGACACAACCCGGACACCCCCTGAGCTCCCAGGGAGGGACCCGGGGACGGTCCCGGCAGGCAGAGCCGGAGGGAGCACCGGGAACGATCCCGGGAGGGAGAGAGCCGGGGTGAACGATCTCGGGAAAGGGAGACCCGGGGGGAACGATCCCGGGAAGGAGAGACCCGGGGGAAACGATCCCGGGAAAGGGAGACCCGGGGACACCGGGAGTGATCCCGGGAATGGGAGACCCGGGGGCTCCGCTGGGAACGATCCCGGGGAGGGGGTGGGGGTCTCTCACCTGTCGCCTCCCCTCCGGACGAGCTCGGGGCGCTGGCGGGAGCATCCTCCACACCTGGGGGGCCCCCCTGTGCCGGGGACCCCCCCGCTCCCTCCCCGGCCGTTTTGGGGTCCCCATCCACCCCCACCTCCAGCACCCGGATGGTCTCGTGGCTGGACATGACAATAACCTGCAAACGGACCCCAAAATGAGCTGCAGGTACGTCACCCCGCGGCCGTGTCCCCCAGGGGCTCCCCCCCCCTCCCTGGTTTTGGGGTGCAGAGTCCACTTGGACCCCGGAGGAGCGAGGAATGGGTGGGGGAGTCCCAGCCCCCCAGCACCTCAGGGCTTTGCTGTCAGCACCCCAACTCCAGGGCACCCCCGGCTGACACCCTGGGCAGGTGAAACACTGCCAGTGGTCGCAGCACCCCCAAATTCACAGCGCCCCCACACCTAAAGCACATCCTTACCTGCAGCATCCCCAAACCTACAGCAAAACCTCCACAGCTGCAGCACCCCCAAAACAGAATCAGCACCCCCCGAACAGAACCAGCGCCCCCAAAACAGAACCAGCACCCCCAAAGAGAGCCCGCAGCCCAAACCTAAAGCACCTTGATACCTACAGCAAAACCTCCACAGCTGCAGCACCTCCAAAACAGAATCAGCACCCTCCGAACAGAACCAGCGCCCCCAAAACAGAACCAGCACCCCCAAAGAGAGCCCGCAGCCCAAACCTAAAGCACCTTGATACCTACAGCAAAACCTCCACAGCTGCAGCACCCCTAAAACAGAACCAGCACCCCCAAAACAGAACCAGCATCCCCAAAACAGAACCAGCACCCCCAAACCTACAGCAAAATCTCCACAGCTGCAGCATCCCGAAAACAGAACCGGCGCCCCGAGTGATCCCGGGAATGGGAGACCCGGGGGCTCCGCTGGGAACGATCCCGGGGAGGGGGTGGGGGTCTCTCACCTGTCGCCTCCCCTCCGGACGAGCTCGGGGCGCTGGCGGGAGCATCCTCCACACCTGGGGGGCCCCCCTGTGCCGGGGACCCCCCCGCTCCCTCCCCGGCCGTTTTGGGGTCCCCATCCACCCCCACCTCCAGCACCCGGATGGTCTCGTGGCTGGACATGACAATAACCTGCAAACGGACCCCAAAATGAGCTGCAGGTACGTCACCCCGCGGCCGTGTCCCCCAGGGGCTCCCCCCCCCTCCCTGGTTTTGGGGTGCAGAGTCCACTTGGACCCCGGAGGAGCGAGGAATGGGTGGGGGAGTCCCAGCCCCCCAGCACCTCAGGGCTTTGCTGTCAGCACCCCAACTCCAGGGCACCCCCGGCTGACACCCTGGGCAGGTGAAACACTGCCAGTGGTCGCAGCACCCCCAAATTCACAGCGCCCCCACACCTAAAGCACATCCTTACCTGCAGCATCCCCAAACCTACAGCAAAACCTCCACAGCTGCAGCACCCCCAAAACAGAACAGAACCAGCACCCCCAAAACAGAACCAGCATCCCCAAAACAGAACCAGCACCCCCAAACCTACAGCAAAATCTCCACAGCTGCAGCATCCCGAAAACAGAACCGGCGCCCCCAAACAGAACCGGCACCCCTAAACCAGAGCCAGCACCCCCAAACGGAGCCGGCACCCCAAACCCAAAGCACCCCAAACCCAAAGCACCCCAGCAGGACTCCGCACAGCGGCAGCACCGGGGCGGTGTCCCGGGGGCGGCGCTCCCCCCGTACCTGCAGGAGCCTGGCGGGGACGGGAACGTACACGGTGAGGGACCCAAACCCCGCTGCCATGGCCGGGACAGGGCTTGGAGCCGAGAGCGGCACGGCCGGAGGAGAGCCCGGGCGGGAGGGACTGCGCTCCTTATCCCGCCGGACAGAGCTGCTATCAGCGGGACCTGCCCTCAGCAACGGCAACAGCCCACACCCACCCCGAGCTGCGGGACGTGCCCGGTCCTGAGGACATCCCCAGTCCTGAGGACATTCCCAGTCCTGAAGACATTCCCAGTCCCACAGGACATCTCAGTCCCAAAGGACATCCCCAGTCCTGAGGACATTCCCAGTCCTGAGGACATTTCCAGTCCCAAAGGACATCCCCAGTCCTGAGGACATTTCCAGTCCCAAAGGACATTCCCAGTCCCAAGGACATTCCCAGTCCCAGGGATGTTCCCACTGGCCCAGCCCCTCATTTGGGGTCCCAGCAGGGCCAGAACCAGCAGAGCCCCCGAAGTGCCCCCAGACTCATTTCTGGGCCCTGTCCCCAGGACTGGGGGTGACCCCGGTGTTACATCAGAGGGGGTAAAACTCCCCCCAGGAGGTGCCTGGGTGTTCACCTGAGCCTAAAGGTGCATTTGAGCCCCTGAGCTTTGTGCTTCCCCTTAGACACATCAAATCTGAAACAATCCTTCCTTCCTTCCTTCCTTCCTTCCTTCCTTCCTTCCTTCCTTCCATAATATCAGCTTCATACACATTTTAAGATGAATGCTACATGTACAATGTTAAAGTAACTTTGCTGTAAAGATATAATTTTTTTGTTTCTGTTTTTAACTAAACTTAGACATAGCAGTGAAATAGCTGATATAGTAATTGTGAAAAATGCACATGATATGAATGGCTCTTTGCAAATATTAAAATGAATACTGTATGTGTTATGTTGGAAAGTTATGCTGTGTTAATCTATTTTAATTAGTGCTGTATTAATGTCTTTTAATTTATGCTGTATTAATCTCTTTTAAGTAGTGTAGCAAATACAGGTTTTAAGCTATAGCATAATATTAAAATAGAAACTAAGTGATATAAGATACTTTTTGTAACTAGCCCAAAGAATGGAAAAGATAATCAAGAAATTCTTTGCATTATCCTATCAGGATAGAGATAGCAGCACAGACACCAAGATCCCAGGAGAAGAATTACTGCCTCCTTATCAGGACAGCTCAGACTTCGAGGAACCAGGAAGGTTGATTTACAAGATGGGGGGAAGCTAAAATTAAGCAGAAACACCCTGGTTTGAAAGGAATGTTTGAATCATGTATGAGATCTATGAAGATGCAACAGGTTATTGCTTTTATGGGAATCCTTTGGCACCAAGGTTGCTTTGTGGCTCAGTGCCAGGCACCTGAACTTCTGCAATTCTTCGCTTTTTATTGTCCTAACTCTGATTGTCCGAATTCTTATTGTCCTAATTTTTATTACTATTTTCATTATTATGAATTGTTATTCATAATTTTTATTGCTATTTTCACTATTAAACTAAAGTTTTAACACAAGTGAATGGCGTTTTTCATCCTCTCTCCCTTCCTTCCCTCCTTTTCCTTTCCTTCCCTTTTCCCTTGTACATTCTCTTGTGTTATTTTTGCTTTTGTTTTCATATTACCTTAGATGAGAACAACCCAAACAGCTCCAAACCTCCTCCCACTGTAACCAAATTGTTCTAAACCCCATCCTACACACGAGGTTATATACTTTTATATACTTATATGTATTTATATAATTTTTTATATTTATAAACTCGGTATCATTTCACTCTAATTCACCCCGAGGGTTCCCTTAACAGCACCCTGGGTTAGCCTTGACTCAGGGGTGGCTGGAACATTTTACTGTTCCAGAGTGATCCAGGGACAGGATCACTCTGAGCATCCCGAGGTTTTCCCATGGGATAAGGGCAGCCCGAGGGTTGGACAAGGGGGAGGTGACAGAAATCCCCAGCAGAAGGTTCTGGCAGCTGGGGGTCTGATCTTCACTGCCCCCAGTGCTGCAGCTGCTCTCCCAGGTGTGACCTGGGCACGTCAGACCCACTGAGGCTCTCTGGTGCCCCAGAGCTCCATGAGGCTTTCCCCCTGAGAGAGCCCAGCTGGCCCCGAAAGGGTTAATGAGGACAAAAACTGACCCTGAGAGGGTTAATGGGGACAAAAACAGTGACCCCGAAAGGGTTAAAGGGGACAGGAACACTGACCCCAAAGGGTTAACGGGGACAGGAACACTGCCCCTGAAAGGGTTAACGGGGACAGGAACACTGACCCCAAAGGGTTAACGGGGACAGGAACACCGACCCTGAAAGGGTTAACGGGACAGGAACACTGACCCCAAAGGGTTAACGGGGACAGGAACACTGACCCCAAAGGGTTAACGGGGACAGGAACACTGACCCCAAAGGGTTAACGGGGACAGGAACACTGACCCCAAAGGGTTAACGGGGACAGGAACACTGACCCCAAAGGGTTAACGGGGACAGGAACACTGACCCCAAAGGGTTAACGGGGACAGGAACACTG